TCCTACTCTTCTCTCATTGTTTATGAAAATATCTATGATCTATACATTAAATAATTCCTCCAATACAGTCCTCTGTGCTTTCACGCAATCTTCTTCCTCCTTCCTGCTCCTCTTATCTTCAAAGTCCTGTGCCTTCTAGAGCTTCTCTTATGTCCCTGTTATTTTAATTACTCCTTGATTGAGCCCGTCTCTCCTTATTCTCTTTAGTTCTCAATGCTGGAATTTCTGGAGGAGGCTGATAGCTGTTATGGGCAGATATAAGGTGGCAAACACAAGCTCCTGCTCTCTTTGATCCATCGGAGGAGAATTAGTGAACAAGTTCCTGTCTCAAGCTTACTAGGAAATAGCTGAGGTTGGGAATCCAGAGCCAATGTCAAAGTGATTGCCAAAATGGTTCAGCCACAAAAGCCACTGTTAACGAACATTATAAAATAAAGTTTGTTGTAATCAAGCAGTAGATAATTCCAAGCAAGTTACACATGGATCATATTTTTTGGAGTTTTGAATTCCCTTATTCATTTGTTCATTCCATAAGCATTTATTGAACATTTACTTGGTGTAATTTTTTTAAACCAGGCATTGAAGAAAATGCCCTTACAAGAGGTGGTGTTCATTAATTTCCTATAGCATTTAGCTTTTGCTTTTTCTTACCTTTACTTCTACAACACCAGGGCAATATCTCCACTTTAAAAATAAGAAAATTGCCTGGTATGCTGGCACATGCCTGTAATTCCAGTACTCTGGAGGATTGCAAGTTTGAGCCCAGCCTGGCCAACTCAGTGAGATTTTGTCTCAAATAGAAAAAATGTAAAAGGGACTGTGGATTAGTTCAGTCTGAAAGCCCTGGGTTCGGAAGTGGGTGGGGGAGAATAAGCAAACTGAAGGTGAAATAGTTTGGATGATAACCTACAGACTTGCTTGTGAGGCTTCTAAATGTATGTTCTTTCCACAGTACTGCACTCTGCTGTCTGGAGACTGGATCTCAATTCAGACGCATTTCCTCTTTACAAATTGAAATGCAATTCAGTGTGATCATAAACTCTAGGAATGCTCCTGAAATCAGATGAGGGAGTAGAACATTTCTGAGACTTAGGGGTTGTTGCTGAAGGCTACAGGAGAAAGTAGAGCCCCGAGCGTGTTGCATGTTGCCCAAGCAAAGTGCTCTAAAATTCCATTTTATATATTTATGTACCTTCTCAAACACTTTTTTTTTAGAAGAACACAGTGTACAACTAAAAGAAAAATAGTATCACTGTGCATGAAGTTGAGGTGCATACACTTGCTTTTTGATGTAATGTTTGATTTTGTAAGGTGATAATCTACATTAAGTAACTTGTCTGTAAATGTATACTGCACGTTTGCATTTCTTATGCCAGTACTGAAGTTAAGTCACAGGCCAGAAATACACTGTTTAGGAGTCTTTCTAGTGTTGCTTTGTCTCAGAACATCTTCAAACAAATGAAAATAAGACTGTTGTGGGTATAAATCTAAGAGGACAGTAAGACAGAGCCTTGTCAAAGGCACATAGTTGCAGTTTCTGATGAAAATAAACCATTAACCTAAATAAAAAATACATGATTACTATTATTTGTAGTACTGGCAAAAATGTAGATTTGTGTAACAGAGGGCTCAATTATTAAAGTCTTGCAGGAAAGCTAAAACCTAGAGGCAAAGTTTTAATTTAATTGTTTGTGTGTATTGATTTTTCTTCTATTTGTTGAATAGTTCCTTCAGAAACGTCAATCAACTCTATGTTAAAAATAAGAATTTTGACAGTCCTTCAGTTACAAAAACGTGTTTGAATTATGTATAATATCCTTTCATCTTTTCTGCCTCTAGGGGGAAGTGTGTTTTCAACAGTTCTGTCCCCAGAAGGTATTTTCTTGTGGGCCTCATGATTCACATGGGTGATCTTTAGTGTGATTTCAGAGCTGGCTGGACAAGGAAAAAGAGGCTCTTTGGAAATCCGATGGATGCTTACTTTTGAGGTTACATCCAGGATTCTGAGGGAGAAGAGTTACAGAAACTGTTACAGATGGTGGTAAAAACTTCTTTCTGATAACATTTTTACTACATTTCAAATAATCACGTGTTTGTTTCTGTGTATGCTGCTGTTTTTCCTGGTTGTAGTAGAGTAACATACTTGCTAGAAAACTTGCCTCTTTATTTTAGTAGGTTAAAGTTAAAAAAAAAAATCACGGTTTGAGTATGTTGATGAAAACATTTCTAAATTCTACAGAAGTTCTGTGAATTTCTGTATTATCACATGAGCATTGTCCTTTAGGCTTTCAGTTGCCTAATTTTATTTTGTTTAGCATTTCTTCATATCTTAATGTTTTTTTTGTTTTCATAAAACAGTTGAGTCCAGAAAGGATGCCCTGAGTAAAAAGGTTAGTATTTTATTTTTTGAAAGCAGAAAAGGGCTTCCCCCCCATTTCATGTTTTACAGAATTTGAAAGGAATTATATTTAAAAATTGAGTTCAAGAGATATTTTTCTCTTCTTTCTTGTTTTGCTTTAACTTTTAAAACTGTAACAAAAGTTTTATTATAAAATGATGCTATTTTCAGCTTTAGTCTGCCATGTAGCCTGGAAACCTAGGTAAATCTAAGATATATTTTGATACAAAGAATGTTAAAGTGGCAGTTTTGTCCATAATACTCTTTTACTTGGTATCATAGGTACTACATGGTTTATTTTTAATCCAATCTTATTTAAAATATTCTCAGGGTACAAAGCATTATTTGTGTATATCATTTATATTCTTTGGGCCTCAGTTCTTCAGCCAGAGATTGCAAGATGTCAGGCTTGGTGATTTATTTTTCCTTCTTTTCATCCTTTCCTGGGGGTGCTCAGGGTCTTCACACTGACCTACGTTCCCAAGCCCTTTTTATTTTTATTTTTAATTGGGCTCAAACTTGTGATTCTCTTGCCCCAGCTTTCCAGGATGCTGGGAATACAGGTGTGGGCTACCAGGCCTGGCAGGGGTAATTTCTTAGATCTTTTAGGACTCCAAAATTGCAGAACTCCATGATATTTACACGCTTTCAGTTGACTGCAAAAAGTTTGCTTTAATAGAATTAAACAAATCCATAACATCACCATCCATATACCAGTGAGCCTTTCTATAACCTTGTGCCGGTTTGCATTTGAAAAATTTTATTTAAAACTCTGCTTCTCCTCTTGGGAGTTTTAAAGGGATGTTTAGGGCATGGCCAAGGATGCTAACTCTGGCCTTTTTCCTACTGTTTGATTTGGGGCCTCTTTCCTGCCACATTTTGTCCTGTCCGTGTTCTTTTGCCACAAGCTGGAAGTTGAGAGCCCCTGTCCAGAGGCCACCAGGTGGCTAAGGTACTCACCCTAACATAATCGCACTGCCCTGCTGTTGACCCATGGCGAGACTGGGCAGAGCCTGAGATGTGAGTGGCATTCACACCCAGGACCACCCAAACCCTGGACTCCCTGAGTAAGTCCACACCACACACTGCAGAATCGTATCTCCATTGGCTGCTGTTCCCAGACACTGGGCATAGCGGCAGTAATAGGAAACCTTGGTCTTTCACATCTCCTGGCAACTTGCTGAAATCCATTAAGCCTCTTGGAATTAAGGATTCAGCTGTTGTCCTGTTTTTAAAAAAATATTATATATATATATATATATGTGTGTGTGTGTGTGTGTGTGTGTGTATGTATGTATGTATGTACATATACACACACATACACATATTACCATAACTATGATGTTATAGACAACCCCTGCCCTCCCAGGACTTCAGGAAGTAGTTAATTGCTGTGAAGCACTAGGTCTCAATTTCCAGTGTGTGTATTTTTCTGCTTGTGGAATTACATTTTATTATAGATGCCTCTTCTGCTACTGGTTAGCAGCCCTAATTAAATAAACGAAAGCTCTCTCAAGAGTTAGAATCTCCTACTAATAGTGAAAATCTAGGGATGATAGTATATACTCTGAAATCCGAGCTACCCAGAGGATGAAACGTTACCCATAATTACATTTGCGAGGTCAGAAAGAGTGATAAGGAGAGTGCTGTTAAGGGCGAGGAGGGCCATTGCCCCAAAGCTACCTCATCTCCGGAAACCTCAGTTTGCCTTTTCAGGGTCACAAAGGACAGCGAAGGCAAATTAGGGCAGGGCTGGGGGTGGCGTTCGGGGTGGGAGCAGCTCCTGGGGCTGTGCAAAGAGCGGGTGCAAGTTTCCGCCGAAAGAGGGCGTAGGTTTAAGACTAATAACTCTGAACCCAGGCGCCCAAATGAAAGAACATTTTAAAACATTTTCAACGTATTTTAATTTGCTGGATTTAAGCGTCAGAATTCTCTTGTACAGGGTGGCACATTTACGTTGCACATGGCTTCTCTGTGTAACCACCTACAAAGGGGCCGGATCCTTTCGGAGCTGCCCCGCTGCGCGGAGAGCTCTGGCGATGCTCCCCCGGAGCTGGACGTCTCCGCGTCCGGTGTGGCGGTGACCAGGGGACGACTGAGCCTACGAGGCAGCACCTTTCGGCCTCGCAGAGTCTCCAGCAGCTTGACTTGTGCACCCCGCAGCCGCAAGACGCTCTTGGATCTTCGAGCCCTCGAGTTGGAGAGGGACCCTGCGGGGAAGGTTTTGGGTTAGCTGGTTTAGAGAACAGCCCCGAGAACGAGTTGGAGATGCCTTTCAAGCTTTCTGACACTCTTGGAAGCCGAATCATTCGCTCGCCTTTAGGAGCAACAAGTTTCCTTTTCCGGCTTTCAGCGCGCGGGCGGGGGGTCCGTGAGCGAGGTCGCGGTGACCCGGACGGCGCCGCGACTCCGGGGTGAACAC